AAACATAAACATGCAAAGAAACGTAAGACAAATTGGTATCCTAGTTAGTTCATTAGTTAACTAGAGGAACCTGACAAGTCAAGATAGTACTCAAATTTGCTTGGCTTTAACAAATCAAAAGCCCCCATCTGCTTCAAAGAAGAAAAAAAAAATCTATAATTTCTTTTTATTTTGTAGTGATCAATATTAAATCTCAGTAACTTCAAGTAGTTTACTGGAAGGAGGAGCCTAATGTTCCAAAGGAAAGTGCGCTACTCCTAAAACACAATTCTTTTCTGTCCAACATAGCCAATTACAGAAAGTCAGCATTTAGGCTGGAAAATAAGACAGACATATAAGGGTATGAGAGCTTCTCACTTTTGCATATTAGTCAAAGAAGAAAACTTGTTCTGTAGTTTTTGTTACCTGCTCAGGACAAAGTTGTAAATTGCTGCAAGACTCAGTCACCTCGGAACCAAGTATAAAAGGTTTATTTCGAACATGTGGTGAATTCCAAGCAGATTCCTTCAGACTCTCTCCTAAGTTTTCTGGTGACAGCACGTCACACAACGTCTAGAATATAAACAGCTGAGTGTTCATAATAGTGAAAAAGTATCTAGGTGTAGCTTTATAATCAAGCTACATATGAAAAATAAGAATTTAATTCACATGAAATTATCCTCATGAACAGAGCTTTATTAAGTAATAACCAAGAACAGTTGAGAACAGGCAAAAAGCTACAAATCTATATAACTAAACAGAAGTTTATCTTAAAAATCCTTTCTACTAGAAGGGAGTCACCTCTTCAGAGTTAGACATTATCAATTCAAGATCATGAAGATTTTTCAGTGTAAATTTTTATTATTAAACAGTTATGTTCTGAGCATGAAAGACTTCTGTTTACAGTACCTAAGTTTCCTATCTGCTTTCCAGACTTATGTCTTTTCCTTTAGCAACTTCAAAAGCACAAGTATTTAGTACTTGTACATTAAGACTACCTGTTCAACACAATATAATGCATCTTGAAAGGAAGTAATCTAAATGCCACCTGAACCTTCTCTGTATGCACTGAGGACTGACAGACAATCAAAGTCCACCATAATGGGAGCTTTATAAAGGAATCAAAACAGAGCAATAGTAATCCAGTTTGATATATCAAATTACCCTTTCTACTTCTAGTTTGGCTGGAAGAAAATCCTCATCAAGGGCTAAGCAGTGTAGAAATAGTTGTAAGGCATCACCTACAAAGCCAGAGTCATGCAGCACTTTTCCTTTTCGGAAGTAGACCTGAGAAACAGATAACAAAGACATTTGTAGAGAGCATAGAGAACTGTAGTATTAAACTTACAGGCATTACAACAGAGCCAGAATTAGAAGCCTCGATGACAAAGAGAATGTGCCTCTTCAGCAAGCCTCAGCCGTGCAGAATGTGGAAGATCTACCTGCCTTCTCTAAGAAAAATCCCCTACGTTGTTTTAAAAGAGCCATGAGATGGGCTGGCATTAGTTTCCTTCTAGTGAATTTGTTTTGGTTTATATAAAGGGTTAAGATCCTGCCAAGCATTAAATTCACACAAGGCTTTAATTTCTCCTTTCCAGAGCCTTTGGAGGAGGGAAGAGGGACATGCAATGAAAATTATCACATTTCCCTGTATGATAGCTTACACACGACACCCTTTTCGCCCTCTTTCATCAAAAGCCTTATGGTTCTAGTCTGCAGGAAAAGACCAATTATAGACAGAACAAACCACACAACCACGTATCCCTTACATACATCTTAATTTGCATTGTTTTGTAGAGAAGAGCTATTTTTGCAATTGTTTCCGCCAACCATATTTTATTCCTGAACGCTAGGTACCAGTCAGGAAAAAAAAAACAAAAAAAATCAGTTTACTATTTTCTCTACAAAAAAGAAGAAAACCTACACATCATAGGATATTATAATTAAGAAGTCCCTTATCCAACTCATTTCAATTTTTAGGTTGCATTCACAGTAATAGATAAACGATAGATAAAAACAATACAGTTGTAGACTAGGTTACAGATAATGGACCAGAAAATTGAATTAAAAAAAAAATCCAATGCAGTTTCTGCAGAACAACTGCCTATATTAACAGCAATTTGTCAAACAAGGCTGTCAGATGAGGGCATGCATCTCCTTTGATGCATTTGGGCAGTTTCAATAAGATATATCCTGAAGGATATATCCTGAAGGAAAGCATGCAAATCCTCCTCTTAGTGATTGCTTATCTTCCTACAGAGATAAGAGTTGTTAGAGGAATCTATCAAACCAAACTCAGTTAAGTGAAGCACGTTTTCTTTCCAGACATATAGAAAGGTAAACAGTACCGCCAATACTGAAAAGCAAAGAGAGAAGTACGATGCTCTTCTGAATTTGCAGAAGCCATGAAACTGCCACAAAAGAAACCAAGCAGAAGCAGTAATCTCCCCATCCTCAGCGATATCTGGCTACTCCTGCTGTGCTCAGAGCTCAGCCGGTGCTGCAATGAGCAATATCTTACTATTATAAAGGCCAGTGACTCCCCAGCTGCCTGAACTATTTGCAAAGCTCAGTTCCCACTGAGACTCTCTAGTCCTTCCAAAAGAAAGAAACCTTCCAAGCTAAAACAGCAATGTGCTTATCAAAAAGCAACAAAAAGCCTACAAAAAACAAAACAAAACAAAAAAAAATCAGATCATATGCAGATGTTGCAGGTTAGGCCAGCACAAACTCTCTCAACTCCTAGTACCAGAGCCACTAAAAAAGGCCCCCAACACATGTTTATATTTTTAACCAATACTATTGCAGAAGGATTTAGTATTTGTGTCAAATATACTTCATTCTTCAGTAGCATTTGAAAAAAAGAAAACTGTTGTCCTATTTATATAATACACTGTTTCACCAGTAACACATGAAAAAGAGAGATAAATGTTGACTTAACATAGAGCCAAAATTCTAGCCCTGCCTGGCACCAGTGCTCACTCATTTCACATGATGTTTTCATGGAACAGATAATACTGAAAAATGCTCTGACTTTGGGAAATACAGTCCAAGTATAACTCTTCTGGGAAGTGCAGAGCTTTAAAAGCAGCAACTTGCAGATAGTATAAGAAACTTCAAAACTCCATTACATCAATCTACCAAACATACAGGCCCCAGAAGTTTCACATTCAAGCAACTGAAGCTGGCTGCACAATTTCAGCCAGCCACCCAGTCAATAACATTAAGCTGAAGTTTGTAAATATTTAATAACTTTTCTTAAGAGAATACAAAAATGTTCTTCCTATAAGGAAATAAAGAATAGTCATCAAATAACTGTAGACAGCACAAACATACTTCATAAATGTTTCCCAAGACATCCTTTATACTCCACTTAACCCTTCGTCAACTGCTACCTTGTCATGTTGTGGTATGAGCTACAAATACTTGTAACAGCTCCAGGTAGATTAGTTTGTCTGTTTTGTATAAAAGAAAAAAACAAAACAAAAACAACCTTAGCCTAGAACAGGAAGTCAAAGACTAACACAGATGAACAACACCTCTGTAAGAGAAGCACAATATTCATCGGCCCACTCTAACTTGCTGTACTTACTAGTAGTCTGTCTCAAAAGAAACTGTTTTAAGATACTTTTTAGTATTCTGCATGTCTTACAAGATTAAATGTTTTCTTAAATCAAATGTTCACATGACACTTAGAATTTTTTATACAAATTAACTGACCAAGTTTCTCAATTTGATGCAAGTATAATTTAGAATTTATTAATTTCATAGATAAACACAGATTTTGAAAAATGAAAACTTCACATCAACTTACCTCTGGCCAGTTTGGCATTTTAGAAATAACAAAATTTAGATCTTCTATGGCTGTTTTATACTCTTGGAGGCCAGCATATGACTCAGCTCTGTAAATTCTTAGCATCAAGTCATCAGAATCTGAAGATAGAATCAAATAAAATTTTTAATCGTTCAGAAGTCTAATTTTTAATAAGATATGTTTCATAGCTACATAAATCATAACCATGATAGATGAAAATAATACACTTCTCTACCATACCGTCAGTATAACTGCCATATAGTTTGCTCCTCCCACCCTTTAAGCTTTTGGATGAAAAGTGAAATAATTCCAAGCTCATGTCTTTCAAGCTAAAGATCAGCTATTGAATCCTCTGTTTCTGGTAGCAACAAGAAAACATATTTTAAAAAAAATCTAGCACCAAGGCTGACAGACTAATATACTGTTCAATACTTCTGTGACAGAGGTTGACTAAATAGATTCTTGTTTCACAATGCACCTGCTTAAAACCACACAAATCTGGGAGCTCACCTCACTTGTCAAATCTAAATATTAAAAAGTTAGGTTTGCTTTCAAATGTTTGAGTTTTGCTTAGGCTAGCATTTGTTTTTCTAATGACCAACACCTGCCAGATACAGCATTGGTACTTTTACAGTGACATCATCTGATAAGTATCAGAAGTCTTTATCACGGGGCTGTCTGAAAAGAGATAGGCAATACCAAAAAGCCATTTACACCAGCTGGCAGCCCTGCTGTAGGGAGTTATACTAGCAGAACTTGTGTAACGGAAAAAACATTAGTGTGGGTTCAGTAAAGACAAGTTCTCACGTCCAAAACACACCATTTTGCAGTTTTAGTAAAGCAACTGCACTGGAAGCGTAGCCACCTACATTCCATTAAAATAATGGTTTTCATAATACAGCTTAGAGTTTTTACTTGGAAAAAGTCAGTAGACTGTTCCATGATCTTAATTTTTTTAGTACATCCGTGCTTTCCACTGAAAGGGTGTTAGAGATAAACAAGCCAAACATTGGTCTGTTGTAACCAGATACTCAAATTAAATAGTTCTTTAAGTTTGTGTCAACAAGACTTTGCAGGGGGTAAAAACCATTTCAATATTCTAGTGTCTTAGTCTATTCTAAGCATCTAGTTCAAGCTTTCACAATTTCCACCGTTAACTTGTTTTACACTTAAATCTGCTTCAGGAGGAAGCCAGACTGGTCAATGTCCCTGTGTATTCCAAAGTATTGCTTTGTATTTAGATACACAACGCTACATGTAAAAGATCTCAATGGAAAAAAAATGGTTAAGAAAATCAAAACTGACAATGTATTTCATAGCTCAAACTACTCAAGAGCTGTTCTGATTATGTTTTGAGCTGACAACTTCTCTTCAAATACAAATATTCCCAGACCAGTTTTTCTATTTTAGACAAAAGAAAATGCGCATTAACAGAACTTTGGGAAACCATCTGTCTAACTTAAAATAAACAAGTAATTCTGCAAGTGGAAGAACCCTGAAGCCTGCTTTCCCGTGGCTTGACTTTGTGTTTTCTGACTATCACAGCCTAGCAAGTTGAGAGCTCTGATAAAACTCTTCAGATACTCGTTTTCTATATTTGACTGTTTGATGTCCAACAGAGTTAATATAAACAGAACGCCTTTTCCTCAGATGCAATGGTAATGTGGCTCTTCGTCCTCTAGCATGTTTGCACATAATCAGAAGGAGCTCGTCTTTTTCAGACCTCTGCTACATACAGGAGAAGACCTGAGGAACTCCAAGCCTGTTTCCTGTGGGGAGGGCAAGGGGGAGTTTGAAGCTAGAAACATCAGTTCAAATCTAGAGCAGGGAGACAGCTTGTCTATTTGTTTTTCAAAGAATTAAGTATGGTTTTGACTGAACTGGTACAAAATAAAGGGCGAAACAAAGAAGTTTAACTGGGACCCCAACCCTGCTGCTGAACACCAACGCTGCCAAAGAATAATCAATGCAAATAACAAACTGGGTCTAAATATCTGTAAGACGAAGACCTAAATTTACATGCCCATTTTTGCAAAGGAATTTAATTTCTAAGCTTTATACTTTTGAAAATATTGTCTGGCAATCTTTCAGAATATTTTGATAACTGCCACCTCAAGTGAGGATGATTTCAGCTCCTTAGATCAAGGAATAAATAAGCAGCAGGAACGATTTGTGTTTGAATTTTCAGCTTCAACAGCCTAAATTATTATACATATAGAAATCACTTCTAATATTTCCAAAGACATAAATTATTTTTAATTTGAAAAAACCTATGTATACCGGTTATTATTACATTAATAGGTAAGTACACAAAGGGGGGAAAAAAGCACTTAACATATCCAGATTTTTTCATATTTCTTTCAAAGCACCTGCTCCTGGCTACCATGAGTGAGAACCATCTCTGTTCTTCTCACCTAGCGTGTTTATTTATACGTTTCTTAAAAAAAAAAATGGAATTTTTCAGAATGAGAAAGACACCACCCTCTCCACGCAGAAAACCTATTGCCATAGTATTTCCGAATACAGTATTACAGAGCCACTATGATGGTCAGGGTTGGAACATACAGCCTGTAAAAGGCTGAGGGAATTGGGCTTGCTTAGAGGAAAGATCAGAAGGCTTTGGGAGAACCAAATAGCTTTCCAGTACCCAAAAGGAAGCTACTTAGAAGACACAAGCAGGCTCCTTACTGAAGTTCATGGCGGGAAAACAAGAGACAATGGTCATAAACTGAAAAAGGGCAGCTCTGACCCAAAATAAGGAAAAAAACTTTTCGCTATGAAAGCACTGGAACAGGTTGCCCAGAGAGGTTTTGCAATCTCCATCCTTGGAGGTTTTCATGACTCAACTGTTGGACAAAGCCTTAAACAAACTGCTCTGAATTCAGCATTTACTCTGTTGAGCAGGAGGTTGGAGCAGAGACCTCCCGAGGTCCCCTGCAGCCCAAACAAGTCTGTGATCACTCCCAAGTCCGTTTACTAAAGACTATTAGCTGTGTCTTTCGGGATACTTGGATTACAGAGAGGCTGTATTTGGATTTTAACTCATTAGACTGCCTTTAATTAAACTGCTTAATTTCAACCCCCATAAGGAACATTTTATCAATATGAATGTTCACATTCCGCATGTTTTTCAAAAGTAACTTTTGTACCACGGCAAATCTCTCATCAGTACTTTATCTTGCAGATGTTTCAAGAAACAGAAGTTACTAAGAGATGCTACCTGAAAAAAGGTTTAGTGCTGATGCTTTATTTAGGACATTAGTTTTATTTTAATTTCAAGGTTTTAACTCTGTATCTGCACTAAAAAGAAATAGAGATGAGCTAGCAGTGAGGAAACTCTGAAACAGTACATGAATGATTTTAAATAAGCTAGATTCCTTAGTTTGTGTCTTCTCCACCTCTGAATGTTTGCAGGAATTCATGCTCTGGAGGAAAGAGGAAGCTGTACCAACAAGACCTTAGGCATTTCTCAATCAGGTCCCCATTGGCCTCAAGTCACCTTAAACTTGTAGCTGAGAGCCCCTAACTCTCTAAATCCACATTTAATGTAAACCTGTACACCCCAATTCAGGGAATTCTTTAGGATCTTTATCAGAATGCTTGGAATATTGATCGTTCTCTGGACTGGAGACACAGGAAAAAGGCGTGCAAAAAAAAAAAAGGGGGGGGGCTTACAGCACCAAAATCTAGCACGTATACAGAATCTGAATAATAAAGTCATGGATAAGCCTAACAGTTGATTACTATTTTCAAATTTTAAAGCCATTGTTAAAACCAAAATTCAAAATGTAACTTTAGACCAAAAAAGCAAAATTATTTCCTCATGGATATCTAAAGCGTTATGGCAATGCTAAATTAATAGAAAAGATTTTACAGAATTAAGTAGTGTTCTAATCAGCGTTCCTCCAATTGTCTCTTTTATTCCTTCAAAAATGATCTTGAACCATGAAATAGGACCCATATAAACCTTGGATCAATACTGGATTCATCAGTTTGCAACCTGAAGGCCATCGAGCTTTGACTCCATTTCTTTGTGACCTGTACGAGCCAAAGCTGTATTTGGGAACGCGCAAAGAGAAAAATAATCTACTACTTACAGTTCCAAGGTTAAAAATAGATCAGTCACTTTCTTGGTCCCATCTATCCTACGTACTGCAAACATCCTGGCAACTAAAAAATATCTGAGATTTAATCTCACCTAGATTGAAAACGGTTTATTCTAGAACCAAATGTGACATATCCCCCCAGAACAGATTGGAAGGATTAGACTTATGCAAGCTTTTGTTTTTCTCCACAGCTGACATCTGTAAAATGCAATGTACTTAATTTATAAAAATATTAATTCCTACATTTCTGAACAGAAACAAAATGGCACAAATGGAAATGGCAGCCCCACACGTCACCAAACGTTTAAAAACCACAGTCAAATTAAAACCACATAAGAATTTGTCACTGGATCAGTCTAGGTATATCAATCACCTGAATGTGACTTCCTGTGCAAAGACTAAACTCTGAAAAACTGACCATACGGCAAGTTGCAATGGTACTGGACGTACTACTTCTGCTCACTATATAATAATCCAAAAACACACCTTTACCACCCCTCCTTGCACCCTCTCTCAACACTATATTATAAAACTTCAACCACACCCACCTATGATGTCACTGCCATTACACAACCTGTCCCCCTCCATGCCTGCCTGCTTATGCAACTAGGCCCGGCCTGCTGGGAATTGTCTTAGTGACACTTAAAGACTATGAAAATAGGTCTCTCTCAGGAAACAAGGTTAAATACAGCGACAGAATTTCTCTCGCCCAGGCGCAGTGGCTACTAAAAGCAAACCCACAAAACTCTTTTGTAAACAAAGTCCCACAGCAGGAGGGCTAAAGAACGAGCCGAAGACGACCCTGCTGGACGCTCTACCCCACTGCTCGAGGTCACCGGCGCGAGCCCCAGCGCCGGGCGCAGCCCTCGGCTAAGCTGCCAGCGCCTGAACGTGACCACAGCGCGTCCCTCCACGGTTGGGGACTACGGCGAGGCCCTCTGAGTCCTCTCAGCGAACTCGACAAAACTTCATGTGGGAAAAAAAAAAAATCACCCATTTCGCCCACTGGCGGAGAA